GCCTGACCCGAAAGGAGGGAGCTCCCCCTTCCCTTCCCTTCCCTCCCCTCCCCTCCCTTTCCTACCCCTCCCCGGCTCTTTGTTCTTTGCCCCTTTGTTCTTCTTCTCTAAGTTTCCAGGGGGGTTGCTGGTGCGGAGCAAAGTTGCCGAAAGCTGAGGAATTTCATTAAGTGGGTGTCTGAGCACGGAAAGAGGGTGGGGGTCCCTTCCCAGGGCTAAGAGCCATTCCCCAAACCCCTCTGCTTGAGCAAGGGCTCGGTGTGGGGCGCTGGAGCTGGGCCGTGCTCGCAGGGATGCTGAGGCAGCAGAAGCTCCTGTGGCCACAGCACCAAGGGACCGGGCACCCCCTTCGCCATTTAAACGCGTTTTGGGGAACAAACATCCTTTCTGGTGGGAAAGGGAAGAAAATAATAGTGATTGGTGAACATGTAATGAGATGAGGCAGTAGGTAACAGAGATGAAGGTTTTCTGAATGCTACATTTTAGGGAACACATATTGGTTTGGGATGCACAATCTTAGAATGGCTTTGTCTCCGTCACTTTTTTTTTGCTGTTTTTCATGTTTGCTTGATAGGGCTCTGGTTAATTGTTGTCAGGAGTTAAACAAGTTGGGGCTTAATTTCAAAGTAGATGGACTGTCTTCATAGAGCAGCATCACAGTTTAAAAGACAGGTTTAATGTGGTTAATAGGAGATCACAGCATTGTTCAGTAGTGGCAATAATACCAAAACTTCCTTGGAAAAGGAAAGCTCCTTTATTTGGTATAATGTGGAGTAGTCTTATCTCGTCGTTACTAATCATTATTAAATGTTAGAGAACTACAAGCTTATTTTGCCTGGCACTAAGAAATCCCAAAGCACTTCACAAATATCTGTTATCACAGGATTCTTATCCCTCCTCCTGATACATGAAAGTAGGAAAACACTTTATATGGGTGAGCTAGGTATTAGGAAAGCTGATGTGAAAAAGGAAGTTTTGATATGGTGCACTGGAGTACGTCACAGCAGGTGACAGACAGAGCCAGGTCAGCATCCTCAAGTCCAGCACGCTTCCCTAAGAGTGCTGCTGTGCTCCCACCTTTATATCCAAGAGTATCATGGATGATTGTAGCACTTCAGCATTTGCAGAAAAGCTGCATGAATCTAATTCTTGTAATCATGAGAATGTCCACAAATATTTGCTGGTTTTACATAGGTAGAGATTCTATAAAACTATTTAAGAAAATATATTTGCTGGTTTTACATAGGTAGAGATTCTATAAAATTATTGAAGAAAATTTTATATGTGCAGTAGTTTTGTATTATGTAAAAATGTCACAAATGTTTATTATGATGTGCAAAATTTCCAGAATTTGTATAGCTTTTTTTTCTGGTACTTAACAAAGTTGAGAAAAGGAGTGAGATCAGATTGGGGTTGACTAAACAAATGTTCTAGACCAGGATTTTTAAAATGTGAATACACTTTTAGGAATAAGCCTATCTTTTTGGCAGAGGTTAAACCCATTTTTCCAATGAAATGGGGTTTGATTTGAGATGATGTGAAGCTTTGTTTTTTCTGATGTTGCGAGCATAAAATCCCGTGAGAAATTTGGGAACCTTGCAGCTGTAAGACACAGCTTTAGCTTTTTCAAGGTGGCGACTCAAACACAGAAAATGTCCATGAAAACTTTGACCTTTATTATTTAGGACTGTGATTCAGAGTTGAATGTAATAATTGGTCAGTAGCAAATTAGAGAAAGATACAGACATTGCATCAGCCGCTTTGGTGGTAGCTCGATTTTCTAGCTGTGTCTCCACACACAAGTTTCCTGGCTTATTGTTTAAATCCTGAGGCCAGCAGCACTGCTTACTGCTCTGTTTATATCCCAGCGCTCATAATGCGGTGTTGCAATATCCAGGTAAAAATGTTCAATGCCATTTAGAACAAGGAATCTGCCTTGAGCAAAGCTGTAATCAGTAATAGCCAACGTTACTGAGAGCAACAGCTTCTGCAAATGCCTTACTGCCACAAGTTAACCCAAGCATAGATGTAATTGTGCTCAAAACTAAATAAAAGCAGAAGAAAGAGAATAAAAACCTAATTGGAAAAATGGATTTTAGAGAATGCTCTGTGTGATCAACAAAGGCTGCTTCTGTCTCAGTAATGAAGACAATTAGAGGGACAAGTGATGTTACTGGGTGCTTGTTCAAATAGAGAGTTTCTGCAGCATGATAAAAATTACTTTGATTCAAAGGCATTCACTAAAGAAAGGGTGGTTGCATTTTTTCCTGTTAATTTGTCTTTTCACCTGTGCTTTTTGCTGATGTGGGTAGATTTCCTTTCAGCAGATGAGAAATGTACATACGTTTTAAAAAATCAAAACAAAACAGACAACCCCCTACTATTTCCCTTGGAAATTCTGCCATCAAATACAAGTTACTAAATATTGCACAGGATTTTAGAAGGCAAATCTAAATATATAGTTTGGGATTTTTGTCATCTTGGTTTTTGGAGCAGAGGACAAAACTTCTCTTTTGTAGCTATTTGTTAAACTACTGAGTTTAAAGGAGATATATGGCAACACTTTTTACCTCTGCATTTTTATCACCTTTGTCAAGAAATGCAGAAAATGAGGGGAACATCATCATTATTTTCGGTTTTACTTTCCTTGCATTTGTTAATATATGTAGGGCAATTCCAAACAGCATCAGTGCAAAGGAATGTGGCATAAAATCAGAATAAGGAGGAGATTAAAAATGAGCACTCTCTGCTTTGTAATGGATACTTCTAGGCATAGGTGTGAATGAATACTGATTCATTTATACAATTCTTAAATGGAAAAGCCTCAAGTTTACAAGAAAGGTAAACAGCATGTCATGCTGCATTTAGCAGATGTTGGCTTGATAGGAAAATTGAGAGAATGGTCCCCTTGACATCCCTGCAGAGAATTACATATTGCTAGAAAGGAAAGGAGAGCACGCTACTGTAAGAATTTTGTTGAGAATAGATCATTAGCAACTTTAGCATTGTATTTATTTTCTTTTATTTGCTTATCTCAGCCTTAGCAAAACTAATTTTTTTTCCCTGTAAATGCCTGTGTTTAATTCTGTTGATATACATCTAAAAAAATAGAAGAGCCTACAGGATAATGCAAATCTCAGGCTTTCAAATGTTACGAGTGCCTTATGTGCTTACTATATATGTAAAATTACCTCTAACCATAGTAAATATTAGTTCATTTTGGCTAAGATTCAGTTGCTGAATAAACAGCATTTAGATTTTTTCTTTTTTACTGCTATGTCATGCATGGAGAGAGCTGGAGCTCATTTCATCATATAGGACAGGAGTACAATTAGGATGTTGACTGAACATTTGCAGAAAATACTGGAGATAATGGCATGTTTCCATCTAAATATTTCAACTGTTTCAAAGTTTGTCACTCTTAATAAATAGAGTAGTAATAATAAACTTAGAAACTACTTCCCCACTCTTATATTCTGTCACAAAAGACTTCTTGTTCAAAGCACAAAAATAAATATTTCTCCATATTTTTTTAGTGACTCATGACCCTGAAGTACAGCACTGGCAAAATACAGGCAATCCCTTCCCTCAAAATATTTGCAAGAATTGCATGTTATTGTTCATGTGTGGGACTTTGAAAACACATCAGTAATTTGTGACTCTGGCTCTAAACACAGAGGGAGAAAAGATGATAAATCAGTATCAGTTCATTCTAAGTAACTGATTAAGATAAAGGCTCTGATCTGTTTTCATTGCAATTAACACTGAAACTCTTGACTTTGAACAGCTTCCTCTTACTGTTTGGGTTGTGGAAATGCTCAGAAATCCCAGCCAGCACTTTGGTTTTCTTGTGCAGGAATACACAGAACTGACATCATCTTCTTTGTTGAAAGCTGTAGTTCCAGGCCTTAATTTCTTGAAATATTTCTACTTAATACTTTCATATTTTTCATCATGCAGTGAGAAGTTTGCCCTCCTCCCTCTCCCCTGAAATAGTTCTCATGTCCATGAGTGGCATCTTTGGTGTACTGTGTTTAATTATTTCAAACCTTCATTCAAATACAGCACTAAAAATGATTTTTTTTCCCGTTCATATCAAATACAAATTCTTACATTGATGCCGGTCTTGGGAAGCTGCCAATGAACTGTTGCTGCTAAGTTTAACATCCATTTATGACGGCTGTTAAAATGGGTGAGGATCTTGCATGTTTTCCTCCAGTTAGGAGAATTTTCAAGTAGAACTGAGCTATGTAATTCCATGCAGATGCTTATCACTCAGTGCTTTCTGAACAAATTAAATCACTATTTAATAACTTCTTTTACCTTATTCTTTCATATTTTTGTATTCACGCAAGAAGAGCAAGATATCTGCAATAGGCTTGCAATTTATAATTTAAAATAGTTTTTTAAATGAGGAATTAAAATAGCACAGATCTCTGAACTATAAATAAGAATTTTTTTTCTCTTTCTAACTTGAATTTTCTCTGAATAATTTTCTTCCCTCCTCCCTCCATATTCATCTTGCCTACTTGAAAAATGTTGGAAGTAGTATGCATTTTAGTAGGATACAGGGTAGCAACTCCTTTTTCAAAAGACACTTGGAATTCTTTACAACATGTCTTTGTAGAAAGTGTTTAACACTTTTAGTCTGATTGAATGAATATTTTACATATGTCAGAAAAAAATACTGTAGTCCAATGATGGTTTCCAGTGGCACCTGGATATCAAAAGATTTGGCAGCTGCACACATACATGAACTGCTACTGACATCAGGTGCTGCTCGGGCGGGTGGTGTATTCAGGTGCAAAAAAAAAAGGAATTCACACTTCTGAATTTGGTGATACCAACTACTCTTAAACACTGAGTAGAGAAATTTGTCCTTTTTGTTTTTCTTTTTCCAATCAGTAATAACATCCTGCAGTGGAGTAAGTGTGATATATAAATGTAGATATCTATGACAGATACAGATGTGTGTGTGTATATATATCACATCACAGCCAAGGAAAAATTTACTCAAGGGGACAAACTTGCTTTAAAGGAAGTGTCACATAAAAGAGGAACTTTATGTATCCAATGTTATCTGTCTTGGTAAAAGAAAGAAATTGCTGAAAATGTAGCATCTAACCTTCCTTAAGCATAAGTGCATTTATGTAAGAAAGGATCACTTGTAGAAGACCCATGTATGTGAGAATGACTATAATGACTGCATTATATCTCAGTTCCTTTACTGATTACCTGGCAAATAATTTTTCATCAATATTTCAAAATAAAAATTCTTTAAGAGGGAAAACACAATAAATTCAACCATAGAATGAATGCTGGGGTCTGTAGTTTTTTTGATAGCTTGTTAGGCAGCAAGCAGCATTCGTAGGAAAATATTCAAAGTGGAGAGGAACAATAGACAGTGTTGGGACTGGCATAGATCTTTCCTGATCTAACACAAAATGCACAACAAATCATTTGTCCCTGGAGTTCTCGGATCTTTCAAATCACATTGAAGCTAATTCTTATCTCTGAGGCTGGCATCACATCCATCCATCACACTGAAATCACTGAGATTCATGTTCCACAGTCTGGGACTTCTGCAATCTTTAATAATTTTGAGTGGCTTATTTTGATATTATTAGTTTTAAATGGTTAGGCAGAAAAAGACATGGTAAACCTGTGATTGATTGTAACACTTGACATTTAAGAGGGGAACTTGTTCTGTTCATCCAAGGGGCACCAAAGACATAATCCTGACTTTCATATAAGGGAACCAAGGCACAGAGAGAGAAATGACTCTCAGAAGCCCAAGTTCCCAATGATATGTTGGTGATCATTTTAGAAATACAGAGCAGGTTGCATATACCCTCTACACACATGTTGTAGCCTCATAAAGTGTGTCCATTTCATGGTGCCTTCACAAACTCCCAAAATCTTGCTGCAATGATTTCCTCTAGAGCTTTGTGCCATGCTTTCATTTAGAGGCAACCCTTCATTCATCAAATGTCTATAAGGCCTGTACCTTGTGGTCACTGAAAGAGGACTGAAAGACCTGTTAATCTTTCCAGTACCCAAAGAACTTCTTGACTGTTAACTCCTGTATTTCTAGGTGCAGAATTATGTGAAATCAGATGGAATTACTCTTGCATAGCACTTCTTGGACTGAGGGCAGGGGGATGAAAATTAGCATCCCATTTTGTACAGGCTCACAGCAGCACAAAAGCTGAGGCAGAAAACCTGAGCTGTAGTGGAAAATAGTGAAGGGCCATTTCTATTAAACTTGTACCTAAAGAGTTGTTCTGAGCAGTAGCAACTACTGCTGGAATAGAGGAAACTCTTTCTGGATGTTAACTCTGAGCGGTCTTGGTAGAAATGTGAAGCAGCAGTCTCATAACAGCTGAACATTACTGCAACAATCTCTCAAAAATCATCGCTCATACAAAAGAGTTAAGAAGAAAAAATAAATTGGTTCATGCAAAACCATGTCTCCTACCATGTATCTGGCTGTAAGTAAGTAAGGTTAGGAATATGTTTTTACATTAACAGCCATTAAAATGATTGACTGTTGCTCGCGGCCATGCTTTTCCTTTCTCTGTAGTCTTAACAGAGCACCCGTGTCTCAAGGGCTCAGAGCAGGGGCACAGAGAGTTAGCGGTGCATGCAAGCCTGGTAAGGGTAACACAGGCTCTTGGGAAGGCTCCATAAGGACTTGGAAGGGGTGTTTGTGAACCAGTGCCTCTACTTCTCAAGAGAAATCTAGTGGCAAAACATTATGGTGGAGTTTCTAAACCAGTGAAATTGTTCTAGAGCAATGAACTGTACCATAGTATCCAGTAGTACAGTGCAGAAATTTGATCTAAGTAAAATCACCTTTGGAGAAATAAGTGAGTAGAAGGAAATAATGGACACAGCTAAACTCCGGATACAGTACATAAAAAATGGTGTTAGGAAAAAATGGTTTGTTATCAGTCAGTAATGTGAGTCTCCCTAATGCTTCTTTTAATTCTCCTGTAACTGAATGTTTTCTGGACTCTGTAGCAGACTGGTGGACACAGTAACATACTCAACACCAGGCTGAACACTTTCTGCCAAATAAGGGGCACGTTCGGCCGTCTCATGGGAGAGGGTAAATGGGGACACAGGATCTTTGCAAGGGAAGCAGTTCCCCAGTGTTACCTTCTCTGTGCCTCCCCCTGCAGAATCCCATTCAGAGGATGAGCTCCAGCTTGGCAGCCTGGTTTCGAAGTGCTGCCACACCTGGCTGGGTACCAGGTCCCTCCTCCCCTGCCTGCTTTTTGCTGTGCAAAAAGGCACTGCCAGGTGGCTATGGCTGTCCTCTTTTCTTCTTTCCTTTTGGCTGGAGCTGCCATCTGACCAGAGCGGTAACATGGGGAAGGCTGAACCCTTCCATGACCTGTTTGAGGCTATAATTGCATAGTTCAAAATTGAAAAGACTGTAATGGCTCTTGTGCTTTTGGTGAAAATGCTTGACATTCTATCATCCAACTACAGAGCAGATTAAAAGACTGGCACTATTTTGAAGCATCTTTTATTTTCTAGTTTGCCATCAACAATTAGATACAGATTTTGGGACTACCCATTATATTCCTTTCTGAGTCTTCTAAGAACACAAAAACAAGACCAAAATTATCCCTTCTTTATTAAAGGCATTAAAAAACCCAATCCTGACAACCACAAGCCCAAAACCTATTGGATTATGTATTTTTATAGATATTGATAAATTGGTACGTATTGTCTTAGGTATGACAAAGTTTCTAAAGCTTTTTAAACTTAAACTTCTGTAAGCTATTAACAAACCATGATTCAGTAATGCAGTGGAAATAGCATAGCTAAAAAGGAAATAACTTGCCTCCTTAGCAGAATTATTGTTACCTTGTGTGTAGGAAAAGCCTTCATAGCTGGCTGCCTTTGCTGCAATCACTGGTGCACTTTTTTTCTCAGGATATCCCATTGTTTGCCACTCTCCTTCCTCAATCATTTTTGTTGTGCTTTTGGATGCAGGAACTTTTTCCAGTTAAATGTTTTGTGCAGCACCTAGCAAATTTGCCATTCCACCCTGGATAATGCTGTAAATACCAAATGAGAACACATCTCTGGCAGTGTAAATATGGTGCAGTTACACTGTTTTTTGTAGCCACTGCTCTACCCTGACACTTGGTTGGGTCTGACAGCTGGAGGTCTCTTGCTCTCCCTTTTGAGAGAAGGACCTACTATTTCGGGAGTTATTTCTGCCAAAAGCTGAGACCTGTAATCCTACTAACATCAGAAGGAGAGGAGAACATGCAGCTCTTGGCAGCAGCAAGCCCCACTAATTTCTGCACTGCCCAGAAATTAACTTCAAGAGTCTCAAAATTGTCATTAAAATTCAATTGTTTCCCTTCACATTTAGACATCCGCCCATGGAAAAACACCCATTGTGTAACTTCTCTCCCTCTCCCTGGAGGATGGGAAGGGAGCCCTAATGGTGGCTGAAAAGACAGAGGCAAGAAAATGAGCTTACCTTGCTGCCCTAAAGTTAAGCAGTAATCCAAATGGCACCAACACTGAAATACCTAATAATTTGGATGTACAATTTCATTGCTAAAGATTTCACATTGGTTCTGCTTCTGTCCTGGTTATATAAATAGCTACAACTTTATTTTTTATTTTCTTGCCTTTTTTTTTCCCCCTCTGTATAATATGACTAAAATGCCATGGAAAATGCAACTTCTCAATATTTTAATTTGAAATTGAAGATTGGATTCTCAGCTGGTAGAAACTGGTATGCCTCCACCAGGCTTTCACTAGCTGCATATTGTCTGTGGCTCTGACCAGGTAATTACCAAATAAGACCATACCATAACATTCACATAGAGTAATGGAATTCAGGGTTCTGACTGAGGTTAGGCAGATAAATATAAGTAAATGCCTTGGTCTGTGGAATAAGATCTTTTCACTTTTCTCATAGTTTTCCATCATGAACAACTGGATTAAAACTGGTGTTCCCTCCTTCCCATCGGCCTCTTGGCCATCTCCTGAGGCCTGTTGGTGTAAGAGGAAGAATGAGTTCAGTATCACATTTCACTCAGGGGTCTAGAAATGAGCATCCTTAATGCACACCAAATGAGCTAAATTACAGGGGAGTGTTTCCAGCAGGCATTCCAGGGCTGTGAATACAGCCTGGGAACCCATGGGCCAGCATGCTTTGTCACCCTGGCTGATGCTTAGAGAGGCCTTCCTATATGCTCCTGTACACCATTTTCTAACTGTATCTATCCCATCTTTGCAAGCACAGCTTTTTGTGAGTGCCTGGAGATGTACTGACACATTCTGAAAAGTCAGAAGACTCACTGAACTCTTAAAGCTGGGTAATGTCTATGGGCTTCAAGCAGGGTCTAGATGGAGTTGAGGCATCCAAAATTATTTAAGACCCAACACTGACCTACTTAACATGCCAGGTGAAGCTGTGCAACCTCAGGGAAGATAATGAATACAAACAGTGTTGGGGTTCCATAATGGAGTGTCTTGGATGCTTTCTTCTCTACTGCAACAATATTAGTTCCTCCGTCATTATATACAACAGAGCACTTGGAGAATTCAAGTTCAGGGATGAAAGGTTTTGCGTTTGCTCTTCTTCCAGTCTATAAACTATTCCATGCACAGGCTGCTTCCACTCTCCTTTTGAAGATGTACCATCAGTATTTAAGGTTATTCAGACAAGAGAAGGGAAACAGCAGAGAGCATGACTGTAGCCTCCTGTGAAAACATTGAATTATGTGGGGTAATCCTGGATTTCTGGCTTCCAGGACTCCTTTAGCACTAACACATTAAGAATAAAATACATTAACGGGCTTTTGAGAATTCTTGAGATATGACCTTAATCATAGACAGACCCTATCTGCCATTAAACATAATACTTTCCCAACAGCCACCTCCTGCAACCTTTGGCATTGAGAACTGTTTGGAAAGGCAGAGGCATTCTGGAAATCTTGCAGTGAGTACCTGCAGCCCCAGGAGTGGGGCCCATCACGTACACTTTCTCCAGTGCACTCCTGTCCCTTGCACACGCAGCACGGCTGCTTTAGTGCAGACTGTTAATCGCTTGTTGGCTTAATATTTGTGCAGTGTGTCAAAGGGGAAAGGGCTTAAATTCTGTTTGCATTTTAAATAACTGTCTTGGCAGTTGCACAATCCACAGTGTTTATGTTTTTATGGAATGCACCATTTGTGACTGTTGTTTTAAGAAGTGCAGATATTAAACATGGCCAAGCAGGTTCTACAGTGGGTCTGGCCTGCACTGGCTGTCAAGGGCATTTGGAGAGGTGCCACTTAGCACTGCACAGTTTGCCTGCCATGGATTGGCATATTATAACTTGGTGATGGCAGTTTGGCAACTTTTATCTCTATCAAGCAAGCCAAATTCTGATCCTTTCACTTTGAGCTAGTTCAAATTCCTCTGATACTAGACTCAACTCTTTTAAGAAGCCAGATGGGAGAAACTAAGAGGTGACCTTATTCTGAGTAGACTTGGATCTCACATTAGTTGAGGGCCCCACCCTGAATCCTGATCTCTGATAAATTAACTTTTTAATGTTTCATTTAATGTTTCATTACTGACTTTGGCACAAGCCAAATGTCTACGCAGATATTTATGTTCCAACAGACAAATGCAAGCTCACTTTTTTTTCTTCTAAGTATGTTATGTTTTACAGACATGAGTAACTCATGTGGGATCTTTCCCACAGAGTAAAACCAATGTAAATTCGCATGACTCAGGGATTTGTTTCAATGCTCATGTATAAGCTCTCATTAGAAATGATTATGCTTGAAGATCAAAAGAAAGTACACTCACTTGTATTAATGTTTAATGCATAATTCACATTGTTAGAACAAAAAACAAAACAGTCGGTGGTTGTTACGACAAATATCAAACATTGGCACTACTAACCAACTCCCAGAGAGGATCCTTCATTGCCTGGCATTGGCTGAGTGCTGAGATTTCCTCTTGTGTGTGCTGTGCCAATCGTCTTGGGAATTTAGGACACCTTCCTCTCTGGATGAGTAATGCCCCTGTAATGACAGGAGTGGGGGAGAGCCAGGATACCCCAGCACTGCAGGTGGATCCCACACTCAGAGATCTCTCAGTGGAAGCAGAGCACACAATAATCCAATTCATTTTTTTATTCAAGCAGGATTTCATATCAGGCATGTTCCTATAAAACTCTCATTGCCTTCAATCTGAGTTTAATACCGGGCTTAATATTTGAGCCTCAATATCAAGACCCATGGTCAAAGTCATTCAGCACCACAGAATTTAAGCACTTGATTTCTTGTTTATGTTTCTCCATGTTTACCTTCTTCAGTCAATGCTTATTTTGTTACCAGAATTATTCTTAATTAAATAAACAGGTTTGGCATAAGTGGGTTGTAGATGAAATCCATTTCCTATATCCTTAACCAAGACAAGCACAGGAGGGCAAAGCCATGCTTGTAATCACAAAATGAGAATCCTGTGGGCATCCTTGCCTGTTACAGAGTAGCTGGGACTACTTTATCTGTGTAAGGGAAGACTCCAGGTTACCCTCTGTAATGTGTGACCCATTGCAGTCCTTGACACAAAGTAGAAGTTGGATTTTTTCATCTTCATAGCTTTTAATGGCTTTTCCTATGTCAATGTTTAAAGGGTCAGCAGTTTGTATCATTTGGCTTTTATATTTATGCTTCTTTTAAAAAATTGGCTTGTTTACTACCAGAGTTTACATAATTTCTACCTCATCTAGTGTTTTTTTTGGTTCCATCCCCTCCTCCTCGCCATTTCCTTTGACAAAAGCAAACCAACAAACAGTTTTAAATTTAAAGTTTAGGAGGCTTCATTCACATTAGAGAGTCGATGTCTGTGGCATGGAATGACACTGAATGATACTTGACAAACTCTGTGCTTGGCACAATGTCACAAAACACCTTATACATTCTCATTATCAGTTCAGTCACTTTCCTGCATTGCCAGTGATGCAATACACCGGATTCAGAGCAGAGGCAGAGAGCCTGCCTGGGTTTTAGGTATTTTCTCCCCAATTCAGACCTCTGTAAGCAAACTACAAATTAGCTCTCTCTTCTTAAGGTGCCTCCTGAAGGCCCTCTTGCTCTGCAAACCCTTCTGTGTGAGTTTGTGAGGTTCCTCATTCAGGAACTAATATTGCTGAGTCAGACTGGGTGCTATTGCTATGAATGGAATGCAGTCAAATGGATTGTGTCTCAGAGGACAGAGCAGAGCTTTGGGGTTTGTTTACCTTTTGTTGGAACAGCCCATTTAAAATATTTATGATTGAGAAGCTGGTATTTCTTCCAGTAAAGAACCTTTTCTCCTCTTTAGGGCAGTTGAGAAGGTATTTAGAGTATATACTGGTTAAATTGTTTATTTTTAGTGAAGTGCACATGGCATTGCTATCTTGACACTGATCATAAATACATTTCTGTTGTGGGGATTTCATTGAAGCAAAAAAACCTGTCATGAATTAAATATGCTTCATGAGAAAAGAAGTAGATCAAATGTTGGGCTAAATTAACCTCCTGTTATACAAAATGACTAAATTCTGTTGTTTTCACCGGTGGGACTCTGGACTCGTCTACACACAAAGTTATTTCAAGACACTTATTAGGTACACTGCAGTAATTATGTTCAACTAAACCCATGTGTAGACAACTCCTGCGCCAGTGTAAGAATTCAGTTTCTTGAATTACCTTAATCCACTTTGAAAGTGGATTAAGTGAAACCAGGAAACAACTCGGTCATTCCAGAATGAATAAACTGAACACAGTTCTGCTTTACATTCACATCCGACCTTATTCCAGCATAATTTTCCTGGGCTGAGAGGTTCTTAGGATATATCTACATAGCAAATTAATATGTGATTACAGACACACCAACCCCTCCTTTACTCTCACTGGCATGAGTAACAGCAGTAATGAGAGATGGTAGCACAGACTCCAGTACAGCCTATTAACTGGAGCACATATATGCAGCTGGTTGTGACCAGCCTCTGCTGAAATCCACCTCAGCACACCCTCACTTCACATTCCATTCACATCCCTTAGACTGACATAGGGGCTGGGAATACCTCTCTGCATCTCAGGTGTGTATGCACACCAAGAACTACATGTGTGACAGCACTGCACAGCAGAGCTAAATGGGAACCAGGTGAATTTCACTTCAGTGGTTAAGCAGCATGGCTCGCACATTTTTAATATCCACACCTCTGAAAACCAAATAAAGCGTCAGCTGTGTGACTGCAGAAGCCAAATTAAATGTGCTGTAGACAAGCACAACTCAGATGATTTCACTAGGGCTGGATTTGGCTTCATAGTTGAGATCTTGCTTATTTGGCTGATACTTGTTTTGTTACCTATCTGCTCATTTATTTTAATGAAATTAATGCATTTTAATGTTCCTTTAAGTGCATTCCAAAAATAGCAATTTGATTAACTCACGCGCTTTTAAAAGTGTGACAATCACAATGAAAAATCTCTGTAAGCTGAGGTAGGGTGCAATTTTACGTAGCATCTTGGCATATCCTTCATCCCTTCAAACAAATTCCTAACATCAATCAAAAGAGCCTCACTTAAAAATGAATGACGAAATACAGACAACAATCAAGCTGTACACACTGCTTTTCAAGTCTACCAAAAACATGTATCAGTAATATACTCTGCTGAGAAAGGAAAGTTAAGACAGGCAAGAATTTAGACTAAAAGCAGTTCAAAATGATTCCAGAACAGAAACGTGTAGTGAACTTGTCCTTCTAGCCAAGCCAGACAGCATCCTGAGTAGCTTGGGTTAAAAAAAAAAACAACTCACAACCCAGTGCTTTCAATTTCAGGCTTCTGAAAATGACACTTGGACTGTAGGATATTCCAAGAATGACTTCTTTATTGCCCAACTCTTCCCAGCTGCAGTAGGTGATCCCACCATAGCTGCTGCTGAGGGCACTGAGTCCAGCAGCAGAAAAGGTGTACACTAACTTCTCCCTGACTTTATCGCTTTATAAAAACTGGAATTGCAAAACCTGAGTAGTAACAATATTAAGCAAAGGCAATTTTCCCTTTTATTGTATTTAAATGAGGAAAATGAAAGTATTAATGCTAATATTAAGGCTGAACAGAGGCAGTTGCAAAAAAATTAAATTAGTTTCAGCCCTGCTACATGCATCCCTTCACGGACTCCGCTGTGCTAGTTACCTGTGCATTGGTGATGTTGTAACTTGCTGTTATTATAATAGGTGGTGTGAAAAGCAACACAGAAGAGGGAAACTTGTCCCAGGGCTCTGCTGGGACGCTCTGCGGTCACAGAGTAGGTGGTGTGGTGGTGCTGCAGCAGTTTGGGATGCAATGTGTGGGTAACAACTGGTTTTTAGATGAGGAGCCAGTTAAACTCAGGCTGCCATGGATAGTTCAAGCGAGGCCTAGTTCTGGGAATACTTCTGCAGGCGAGTTAAGTCTCACACGCGAAAATGCCCTCAGAATTTAGTGGGAGCGTTCATGGAGATTTGCAGGATCTGGCTTTGCGAACCACAAGAAGCCAGGGCAGCGGATGCGTGTGGCTGCTGCCATGGCCGGGCACAGCGCTGCCAGCCTGCTC